GTTGCCACCTGGTTGTGATCCAACAGCAGCTACGACATGATCAACATTAAAGTGATACACAATTGTTTGTTTTACTTAAGTAAAACACCTGAATACTTCCTCCGTCATTGATTATTTTTGGGCAGTGATGTCACCTTTAATCGATCCATAAACAGGCTACACTGTGCTGCCTCGGTGTATATTATTATATACTGCATGTGTTAATACAGCCATGCACGCTACCTGCTGCTTGTTGCCTTTGCGCGTCAGCATGACGAACTGCATGGTGTCGGAGATGTCGGCGGCGTCGTCCTCTCCGATGCACGGCTCTCTGGAGCCGCCCTTCTTCAGCTGACTCTTCAGCTGCAGAGGAATGGCCACGTCCAGCTGGTGCACCTTCACCGTCTCGCCGCTGCGCTGCTGCAAAACACACAAGTTGTACCTTTTCAGATATGTTTAGATCAAAGCGTAATGTTTTACTCTGGGGATAAATCCTCTCTTCATGGAGGTTGTTGTGTTATTTAGCCGACGCTCGTTGATATAAATGACGGAGACGTAATATTAGAAACACCCGTCAGTGTAGCGTTAGACCATTCAACAGCACCACCAACTATACAGACATATTTAAACATAATAGCTTCACAAATAATGATATTCAGGCGTCCATATATGCATTTGAAACAGGTTTTTCTTGCCGTTATCGTTCCTCGTGTTCAACTGGACGTCAAAACGTCGCCTCTTGTTTTTTTATGTAAGTGATGGAAGACAAAATCCAAAGTCCTTGTTTTGTGCAAAGATGTACTGAAAAGTTCATCTTCTAGAAGCTAATATGGGTTTCAGACCAATCAATGGATGTATTTAGTAATGAATTCCTTATTTTTGAAACTATCCTTCAAATGCTTAACAGGGAAACACAAAGGCTCAAGGTTTATCTTTACGGTCATTATAAAATAAATAAAACAATAAAATAGAACTAAGTATATAAGAGTAGCACTAAAGAAAGAAATAAAAGGTAAAACTGATTCATATTTACAAGGAAGATACAACAAAAGAGGGAGAATTTATCTGTTTCATTAAAGCTACTATGAGGAGCTTTCGTTTAGTGTATTCTGGCGGCCCCTGTGGACCAAAGTGGTATTGTTTTTAGGAAACTTTCCCCCTCGCGTTCACGTGTCAGCTGAAGTTTCCAGGACGTCCTACCTGCAGGTTCTCCAGCATCATCTTATCCAGAGCCTGAATGAAGTCCTCGTCCTCAGCGCACGCCACGTGCTTCAGTCCACCTCCGCGGATGGTAACCTCCTAAACACACAAGGCAGACGTTAAACAATCTTCATACCTGAGGCGCTGATCGTCTCTCATCTACAGCTGTTCGTGCGGTCGATCTTACGTTGTTCTCCTCATCGGTCTCGTTTTCTTTATTGGAGTCGGTCAGGTAGTCGGTGTTCTCTTCTTCCTCTTCCTCCCGCTCCCCCTCTTCGTTCTCAGAGCCTTCCTGTGGAAAAACAAAACGTATGACATCACGATGGAGACGTTTCATTCCAGATTCAATTCAGTCAGATCCGTCGTCACGTCATCGCATTCATGATTACAGTTTCAGAAACGAGGCGAGCGGACAAACAGGGTGAAGTTTTGAAGAGTTAGATCATCATCATCATCATCATCATCGTCATCGTCATAACAAACTCACATCCTCTTCCTGTTCGTTCATTTCACTCTCGTTGCCCGACTGCTCCTCGGTCTCGGCGCCGCCCTCTTCGTCGTCGTCGCCGTCGTCGTCTTCCTCGCTCATGGCGCTGGAGCGGCCGTCCCTCCCCATGGCCAGACCTTCATGAACAACAGGAAACTCTTTAGGAGAATCATTTTAAAAAATGCTAAAAACACAGAATATTCTGCATTAAAGTCAGGTTGTTACGACGGATTACATCGTGAATACATCCGGCTTCAGTTATAAATAGAAGGAACACTTATTGTGTCATTAGTGTGTTGTTCTTCTGCGCTCATTAAAGAGTCTAATGGTTTTCATTGTGACGACAGAAACCAAACAGAAGAATGAAGTCAGACAGGAGCTGAAGATCAGGTCTGGTGTGACTCAGGAATGCCTGATCCTGGTTTAGAGTATGAAACATCAAACAATGGCTCCACTGTTTAGCTCGGGGGGGGGGGGGGGGGCTCATCAATCACTCTCTCTGCTACACACACACACACACACACACACACACACACACACACACACACACACACAGAGAAACAGACAGACACACACACACAGACTGCAACACCAGTGGGGGGGGAAGTAACATTTAATGGGGACATTTAGGGACATTTTTGCCCTTAAGAGGCTGAATGTCTGTGTTTTGGCGACATAGTTTATTAAAGACTTTTCAGAGGAGGTTTAAAATGTTCAGAAATGACCGAGTGAGGCACAAGTGTTCAGTGCATTTTCCTACTGAACCCCTTTGAATGCAGGACTTTAACTTGTAATGGGGTATTGTTACACTGTCCAGTACTTTGCCTCGACACAGTCTCTCTAAAGGGAGGAGCTGGTGTTTACATTCTTCTCTGAACATTCACAGTCGACATCTTGAAACTCAGGTTTGGGCTGAAACCAGCAAAGAACAGTGATCCTCAATGAGTGAGGACGTTTCCTGTTTCCTGTTTCCTTCTTCCTTCTCTCTCTCTCTCTCTCATTAATATTGAGACTGATCTGACAACATAGTTTGTCATCTTTGCGTATGAAATGACTTATGAGAAGAATTGATTAATCGACACGCGGTACTTTTTGTTTGGAGCGAGCCACTTAAACTAAACTCTCTGCGCAGACAGAACTCTGCGTTGGACGTCAGACTATATAATCGTTGTCCTTTCCCAGTGAGCGCATGTGTTCGGTATGCGTGTGTTTCCATGAACTAAAACAATAAAAATAAATAAAACCTGTCTGACAGACAGAGCGGAGCGAGGAGTGATGCAGCATCGTCCTCCTACACAGAGAGGAATGCTGCTCGGCCGGGACGACCGGCTGCATCCGTCACCCTGCATGCGGTGATAATTAAACGCCGGATATAAACGTCAACCACCTACAGACGTGCTCCTACCTAGTTTGACCAGCACCTCCCTCTCCAGGTCGGTGACCTGCTTGGTGGCCTCCTCCAGGGAGCAGCTGAGCCTCATCTTGGGCCTGAGCAGCTCCAAGGTGTCGGTGATCATGTAGTCGATGTCGATGGGGAACGGGTGGTCCTTGGTCCAAACGTCGGTGCTCTTTTTCCACCAGATGTACCGCTGCAGACACACGCAGGACATCGTTGTTATTCTCTATTATTTAGATGTCTCTTGCGAGAGAATGTTAGATTAGTCACGTATATGCACAACGTACCTGAGAGGCATAAAGGAAAGTGACGCGTCGTAACGACGGCAGATTAAGACCATTATAGGTAAAGAAATAAATAAAAATAGTGATAATGGACACTGATAATCCACCACTAAACACAGCGACCGGAGGTGCTCTTGGGAGCAGACGTACCTGGAAGTAGATGAGGAAACAGTCCAGCTTCCTCTTGCTGGAGCCGCGGTCGAAGTACTGGCCGCAGGTGTCGAGCAGCGTGCAGACCAGGCGGATGCGGAACAGGTGCTCCGGAGGGTCCAGGGCGCTGGGGCTGCCGTCCTGGTTGATCCCGAAGGAGATGAAGGAGAAGAGGGTGCGGAAGATGACGGCGGACTCCACCATGCGGTAGTTGTAGAGCTCGCCCAGGAACTTGGCGCTGCTGATCCGCCGCTGGTTGAACTTGGGCTGGTTGACCTGAGAATGAACGGAGGAATGATGATGATGATGAAGTAAAAGGAGAAATACAACACTGTGAAAATACTCAGGTAAAGTCCTGCATTAAAGAAATGTACTTAAGTAAAGTATTAACAGCTAAATGTAGTAAGTAAAAGTACTCTTTATGCAGCAGAAGCAGTGCAGAAACAAACAGAAATATACATATATATGTATATAAGTATCACTACGTCTCCTCCTTACCTCCATGCCCAGCCGGATGTCCTCCAGGACTCCGTCCACCACGTGGATGCCCACGTCCTCCTGGTAGGCCACCAGGCCGGCCAGCAGGTTGGCCACGCAGTGGATGCTGTTGTACTTGACGTTCCAGATGTTGACCATGCAGCAGATCAGGTAGCTCTTGACCTCGGGGTCCTGCCACGGCAGCTTGCGCATCTGCCTCAGCACCTTCTCCGTGGTGACTTTGGACAGGTCCTTGTAGAGCAGCTTGCGGATGTACTCCTGCAGCGGCGGCCTCTTCTTCCTTACCGTCTTCTCCATGGGCGGCGGGTTGCAGTAGTAGTAGGCGTTCTCCACCATCGTCACGTAGCGGGCGTCCAGATGCTGCGCCTGCTTTTTACGCATCATTTGCTCCTGAAAACACGCAGGAAATAGGAAAAAAATCAGCCGTTTATGCACACAAAAGCATCTTGAATCAGTTCTTTCAGTGTCACTATCAACCCGTTCACTAACCAGCAGGACGCTGGTACGCAGATGAGAGTCGGGGGATCTGAAGAGGAAGCGTCCGGAGGTCTCCAGCAGCGTGCAGGCCATCTCTATGTGGTGATGGGTGAAGTCAGACAGCAGCATCTGTTGGGACACACACACACACACACATTTTATATTATTATTGTTTCATTCGCATTGATCAGCTCAGAGATTTAAAAGAAAGCCTCCGATCTCACCTTGAGACAATGAAGCGTGTCGGTTTTTGAGAACATCTTGAACTTGGTCAGTTCCCCGATGAACCGGACGGTTTTATTCTTTGTCTCGATGTTGATCTGGTCCTTCTTCCGAATCTACAGCACAAAACAAAATAGTTTTGGGGTGGTTTGTTTAATTCAGAGCCGTCTATTGAGTCCCAATAAAACAAAAAAAAAGTAAATTATTCAACAGCAGTCGGAGGACCTACGTGGAACCTGAAGTCCCCCTTCAGCATGGAGCAGAGGTCCTCAGCCACGTCCGACATGCATGGATGAAGAGTTGCCACCAGGCGAGAGTAGAAGGGCAGAAGATCCAACCTGCAACAGTAGAACGAGTCTTCAGACTATAAACTATGATGACGGCGCCCCCTGGTGGAGGTACAGTACAAGGCTGGAAGTATAACGTAGCTGAAATTAATGTGTTAATGAGCCTTTAAAAAGAAGCTGCATTCATGGATTGTTTTCTCCACTTAAAGGCAGCAGAACAAGCTGTAAACATAACATGCACATAATCAAAATATGAAGTTGTTTTGCCAACAGGTGGTGTACAGTGCAGCGCCACACGATCTGTTATTAATATAAAAACATCTATTAGTGCAGCTTTAAGAGTGACTGCAGCTATTTCAAACTATATAAACACCAACGTTATCTCCATCCCGAGGGTGATGAAATGATTAGTCTGCAGCTTCACCTCTGCCTGGGGACAGTGAAGAGAGCTCGGACGAGCTTCCTGCGGTTGGATTTGGTGTTCATGTTCATGCAGAAGTCCATGGCAGCCTGCAGGAGTCAATTCAAAGATACGAGATCATCAACCTGTCATGTAAGTATTTGTTATACACAAGAGCTAGTCATCTAGCAGAGGAAACATGTCTAAAATACTGCCAGAATATCATTTTGTCTAAATATGAAACCATCTATATTTTGTCGAGCAGACAATATGGACGCTGCATTCTTGTTTGTTTCTCCTCACCTTGTCGATGAGGTCTCTGTTCACACAGTTGGGGAGCTGCTGGATGAAGGCGTCCACGATCAGCTTCAAGTGGGACCCAGTGTTGGCCTCTTCATCCTCTTGTTCTACAAAAATAAAGGTTTATAAAAAAACAACACCGAACATTTAAAGAGCGGCGGTGCTTTTTGTGAAAGAGGATGGTGTTCACCTTGCTCGTCCAGCAGCTTCTTGGCCAGCTCTTCGTTCTCGGCCTCGTCTGGTCCCTCCAATTCGAGAGGTTCATCTGCGATGTCCAGAGCCTCCAGCTCCAGCTCCAGCTCCTCGGTGGTGGTGCTGGCCGCGTCCTTCACCTCTTTGCCATCTGAACCAGACGGCAACACGGTCAGAACAACAACAAAAAAACAACCTCTGTGCGAATCTCTTTCGTGATCTATCAAACGCACCTTTGGCGTCGTCCTTGTCTTTGGCCTGGCCGCTCTTCTCGTTGTCCTTGAAGAGGATGGCGGGGACGAAGGCCTTCAGGTCCACCAGGTTCTCGTAGAAGTTACGGGCGTCTTCGTCTTCCCAGATCCCCCCCTCCAGGTCGTACTCTCCGGGCTTACCGGGGGTGAAGATGTCGATGCCGGGGCCATGCTCTGAGAGAGCAGAGAGGACACATTACACGTAGAGTTAAAAACAAATATGTCACATCCTTCAAACAAATATGTCACATCCTTCAAGGACATCTTTTGATTTAACCAGGACACACACCCTCCTGCACGGTCTTGTCCTGAGGAAGCTCGGGCATGTTTTCATCCAGCAGGTCAGCCAGAGACTGAGTGTTGGCCAGCAGCTTCTGGTAGGAAGTGGCAAACTCTTCATACTGCTTGTGTCTGTCCTCACTCAGCTCCCCTTTGGAGTGTAGGATCCGCCTGAAGAGGAAGAGAAAGAGTGACCAGGGAGCACTAAATCTTAGTTTACGGTCGACGTGGTGAAGCTGGCGAACGTGCCAGAAAAAGACGTAATCATGGCCGGCGCGTGGGTCATGCAAATCTGAATTTTTGTAACTTGCCGCACGCGATCACATGACTGTTACAAATAGTTCACTGACAAAAACAGTTTACATGTCTGAGGATTATATAAAGAAGGCCAATTCACTTTTAAAGTGAAAGACGGTCTTAAAAATCTTCATTTCAATAAATATTTTGCAGCCAAATCAAATAGTTTACAGGATATTCAACCTTTGTTTCTTTATAATACATTTAATACTTGACTTGTTTCTTTTCAGTGTTTGTATGAAGGTAATAAAGTGGTTTATGAATATGAGATATGAGTTCACAGATAAATACAATCCCTCCTTGACATAGTGGAGGTTGGTTTCTGGCTTTTAGCCGGTTCCACCGACAGTCTATGAGTGTATCTATGAGGTATAATCATTGTCTTTTTGATTCTTCACAGTTCTTCCTCTGGTGTATTGGAGAATAATGCAACAACAGCGCATTGAGTATGAAAGCTTCCGTGCCATCTGTGTATAGTGAGTATGAACAAAGCTTAACCTTCGGGTCGGACACTCACCTGTTCTGCCTCTCGGTGTTCTGCAGCTCGCGGTGGTCCTTCTTCAGGTGCTTGGTGAGCGAGGTGAAGTACTCCCTGAGGAGGTTCTGGAAGGGCTGCTGCTTCTCGATGGTGATTATCTCGCTCGGAGGGAAGCCCAGTCCGAACTTCTCCGCGGCCAGCTTGACCTTGCGGGGCAACAGGCCGGCGATGTCGTCTCCGCAGTGCTTACAGAAGCTGATCACCACCGACACGTGGGTGTGCGTCTCCCGGTCCGTCCCGATGATGCTCTTCAGCTGCTCGTAAATCAGAGAAAGCCCCTCCTTGTCGGTGAAGAGGCCGACAATGGTGAGCTCGGCGATGAAGCGCAGGTCGGTGCGCAGCTTGCTCACATTGGGCGACTTGTCCTCCTTCCTGGCTTCGAAGTGCTTCTTCCACGCCTGCAACAGCAACGGGGCGAACTCGGTGTACCGCTGGTGGAAGAGGGAGCACAGGTGAACGGCGCAGCCGACGTCGGAGATCTTCAGCTTGGCCTCCACGACGGAGCTCACGGCCTCGCCGATGTACTTGCTGAGGTTCAGCGAGCCGAAGTCGTTGGAGAGTGAGTCTCGCTGCTGCTCGGTGAGCGTGCGCAGCTTCTTGACGAAGGCCGTGTTCTTTTTAAGGCTGGAGTCCAGGCGGCTGAAGAAGGCCTCTTCGGGCCGACCCTCTTGGGCGTTCTGGTTCTTGCTGCGGAGTTCCTTCCTGCACTGATTGCGCTCCCAGGCCTCCTGGTGCAGCTGATGTCCCTCCTCCTTTTCCCTGCAGAGGAGAGGTTAAATGGAACGTTTTTTTGAAAATGAAAGACAGCAAAGATCTGAAGTTATAAGGGAGGTCAATGTTCTATGATTTCTACGCATATTTATGGATGTTTATCAACACATATTGATCATGATGAAACTGTTTATCATGCCTGAGTTCTGACTCTGAGGAGAAACGGTGATTTTTAGTGCAAATGATCTGTTGTTGCGGGTTAATCGGCAGTAAAATGAGGCTTTACAACAACAAAGTTCTCCAGACTTACTTCAGGAGAGCTGCCTCCTCCTCACGTTGTCTTTTGGCCTCTTCCTCTTGAAGCTTCCTCTCCTCCTCCTCCTGCTGTCTCTTCTCCTCTTCCTCTTTCTTCTTCTGCTCCTCCTCCGCTTTCAGTTTTTCCTCCTCTTTCTTTCTCCGCTCCTTTTCCTCCCTTTTCTTCTTCTCCTCCTCCAGGCGCTTCCTCTTCTCTTCCTTGCCGCCGTCTTTCTTGCCGCTCATCTTGGCCTCGTCTTTGGCTTTGTCTCGGGCGGACGCTGGTCTTCTCTCACCATCTCTGTCCTTCTCCTTCTCCTTGCTGCTGGAGGTGCAAACGTCTTTCTCATCCATGTTTACTGAGCGCTTGCGTTCAGCAGGCATACTGAGGAAAGACTACAAAAACAGGTTGTTATGAAGGATCTCCTTCATGCTTTAACGCTCTTCCAACCATCTGCATTGATAAATATGCTGTGATCTATATATGACAATTCATATATATAAATAGTGTATTTATACGTCTAGCACTACCAGCTAATTGGACAGAAGTGGAATAATAATATTACGGAAAAAATTAACTCCAACCGCCAACATCTGACACGTACAGCAGCTTATTTGCAGACACTGTTAGCCACCTAGCTTAGCTGCACAGCTTTGGTTAGGAAGATAACATTAACTCTCTTTAATGTTCATGATTTGGCTGAATAATCTGTTTCATGTTAGCCTTGAAGAAAGCAATCCGTTTCATGGCCTTGTTAAGATGATATAACGTTTTAAATGTGAACACAAATGAATAACAACAACAGAGTTAGCGCTAGCATATAGCTAACGCCGTTAGCCACTTGAATGCACGATGTAAACAAACGTTTTGACCGCGTTAAACTGGCAGCTAGTGTGTGTTTAGTCATCATGGTGTAAACTTACAATAATATACATCATAAATAGATGTGTAGCTGTTGTTTTGAGCGCGTAAATATCATTATAACATGAAAAGGTTTACCTGCTAATTGTAGCATAACAAACATCGGTCATTAACGTCGGTTTCTGTGTGAACCGCAGAAGGACCTCTGGTGTTGGCTCTACAAATTATGCCTTACTGAAAATATCTAAATTAAATCAATCAAAGTTATATTTTGGCAATATTTACACGTTTTCGTCCTGAATTTCTATATCATTGCAATATTCTTTAACCCATAAATATTGTTTATGTTGTAGTAACTTTAAAATCAGATTAGAAGTTTGTCACATCGTCAGGCAATGCTTAGGGCAGCTATTCATGTAACGGTGGTCTGCAAAGAAGACGTTTCTATTTATTTGTTATTTGGCCGCTTGAGGGCAACAAGTTCTAAACAAAAGAATGTTACTCACAAACAATTTAATTGTTTTGTAAAACATAAATGCATTATGGAGTAGAGGTGCCACCTGGTTTGGATGCTTTTAAAAATAAAATGTATATAAATCTCAGTGTGTTTTATTACGTTTTACAATAAGGCAATATAACATAAAAGTAAAAGTTTAAGAATTATCAGGTAAATGTACTTAAAGTGTTAAAAATAAAAGTACTTAATGCAGAAAAAAACTCAAAATTATGACAATTTGTGTCCTTATTTTTGCTACTTTTTTTAAAAATATAAGATACTATGTGAATACTTCCTCCACCACTGAGTCTATGTACCAGTCGTAGTAGAGGTACAAAAGGTATTTACATTTGGGTTTTTAAAACTAAATTTGGGGAACGTACCTTCAACTGAACAACTTCCTGCTCCAGTGATCTAATTTATTTAAGTGGTGAATCAAAACAAACCTGAAATGTAGTGTTACATGTGTAAGTGTTAAGTGATAGTGTAATGAATTTAAAAGGGTTTAAACTGAACTGGACCTTCAGAGGAACCAGAACAGAGTCTCTGTGAGCTGGTTTTACAGAAGCTCTCCAGAGTATTTTTAAACACACAATCTTTCCTCTCATTCGTTCATCTGAATGTTCCTCTCTGCACACACAAACTGTGTGTGTGTGTGTGTGTGTGTGTGTGTGTGTGTGTGTGTGTGTGTGTGTGTGTGTGTGAACAAGGGTGGCTGTTGTAGCTTTATTGACACACACACACGGAGGTACTGAAAGCTCAGCGTGGAGCAGCAGAAAAGTGAGACAGAAGAGCCGTTCACAGGAATACTTCCTTATAGGTGTGGTTAAAATAAATGAAACCAAGTTTACATTCTGAATCACCACAGAACGAGTACCTGACTCATTACTGTTAGAGCTCAACTCAAGATTATACTGAAGTACTTTGAGTATTTCCTCTACTACTTTATACTCCACAACATCTCAGAGGGAAATATTACTCCAGCATATTGTTACCAATTATTTACATAAAAAGATACGAATAAAAAATACAATGCATTGTATTTAGATTTAAAAAGTTGTCCCTAAAATTAGAGAAAAGATTAAAAAAATGACTATACATGTGTGTATTCTTCTCTCACGACCCCTCAGATTTAACTGGTGACCCTTCGGAGGGGTCCGACTCCTTATGTTTGAAACCACTGGACAAAACTGTCTATGAAGTCGTTAAAAACTGGCTCCACCTCTGAGGTTCTGAGGCATTACTTTGAGTTATTAAACTGATAATTCTTCTTCTTCTACTTGCAGCGGACTATCTTAAAATACACAGTCCTGGTTGAGATATGAATTGTATTAAAGTAAAAACAATGGACTTGTTTTAGAAAGATAGAAAGATGAACATTACATGTATGATGACTGTATAAAGCACCCAGTTTGTAAAACTGCAAATACTGATGGCCAAAGGCTTCATCATGGAAACTGTCTCCAGCCTGTCAATCTGCAGAGAAACAAGCAGCTGTAAAGTCTTTACATCAGTTTTTATTCAGCACACGGAGAATGTTCATCACAGTGAAGTGAAAAGACAATTGTAAAAGCTTCGCTCTCAAGTAGAAATCTGTAAATCTCACCAACAATCATCAAAAATGTAACACTTCCTGTCAACAAATGCTACAAAATAAAAGACGAATAAAGAAAAGCTTAAATTAAAGAAACACTGAATGACACTAAGAGCAAAAACAAACTATAAACTGAAATACTGTTGATCTTAAACACTCAATTTAAATCTAAAAAAACCCCATTTAATCAGTGAAAAGATTGTGAAGCAACGTTGCTGTTTGATTGATCAGGATGTTTAAACGTTCACCAACATTTAAATCATCCGCCCATTCAACGCAAAACCTTCGTAAAAATCATGCAAACTTTGTCTTTGGTGAACGACAACGAGACAATCTGTGCTGACAGCGAACCGTAACAGAGGAAGCTCTGGTAGTTTATTAGCATACAGTTATTTTTATATATATAACCTCTGTCAGAGTATGAAGAGGACTTGTTTACAGTAACATGACAGGAGGCCAGATAATAAAGAGAACATTAATATCAGATAAAATGAATAAACATCAAAAGGCCCATAAATCATCTTTCTTTGAAGTTCTAAACAAGCTCTCTTTGTCTAATTTGATGCTTTTTAATGCACTCCGACTTCTTATTTACATTAGAAGTATCAAAATAAATTCCCATTGTTAATCCATTTATTTTCATTAACACTTAAGAGACAGAAGTCGATGTTTTTTAATTAAACTCTGTGAAATCAACAATCTTTGTGGCTCGTGGGGCTTTTATTTGTGTCTTCAATAACTCTTAATCGAATGAAAAACAATGAATAAAACAAAAACAAGCAGCGCTGCTACAGACACACTCATCACGTCACCTTTAAGTCGTTAGCTTTTGATTGGAAGTGTGATTTGTACTTCGGCTCAAAAAGTGTGTATTAAAACACTTAAACACTGTTTGATTGGTTTAAGTGTTTAAACTCACAGATTCAGACACAACTCCTGTATTTCCATTCTGCACGTGGCCATCAAGGAACACAGTGTGTCCATAATGCTCAGACAGATACACTTTAGTGGGTCTGAGTGAGAGATGATGAAACATTTTGTTTTGTGTGGAGCTGCCACTCTTTTCTACTGGACTAAAATAACTATTTCACTAATTATTATATTGTTTTCAGCGCCTGCTTCCAGCAGCAGATGAAGGTTTGGTGCATTAATGGAGTCTGTGCTTTAACTTAACGATGACATAAACCTGTCGCCTCCTTTGGATTGGACACCGAATGTCTCCACGGTCAGTCGACCCGTCAACAGCTCGCCACAGACAGAAAATGAAGCTGAATTTGAGCTCCTGCATCCCAAAGAAGTTGTGTGTTCTTTCATCTGCTTCAGTGTTGTTGAGCAAAGAACCGCAGGACGAGCGGAAGATGTGTTGAAATGTCGGGAGGCCGCGATGATCCTTAAAAAAATACTCCTAATAAGATAGAAAATACATATAAAGTTGTCTCTGCAGCCGGCGGCCAATGGCAGGAGTCTGTGCAGTCGCTTGACAGGTGAGTCAAGCCTATGGCCTTTGAGCCAGGCGGCTCTTCCCCTCCTCCTGTTCGGCCAGCTTGAAGTGTGTGTACGACAGGATACCGGCCAGAGTGCAGAGGATCCCCAGTGCCTGAGAGTGAGACGGGAGGACAGACAGACGGGTAACGGTGTTGTTGGAGCCAGAAGGTTATCGGTTTGGAATCCTCAGAGCAGCACAGGAAGAGACTCACCTGGTTGAGGGACAGCGGGTCGTGGAAGAGCAGGTATCCTCCAATCAGAGTGATGCAGAATTTGAAATGACCAAACATGTTGTAGCTGCAAAGTGGAGTCAGGAGAACGACAACGCGTATGAAACCCCTCCAGAGTCATTCAGGAAACCCTCAACTCTCTACAAGAAGACCAAAGACCGACTCAAGAAGTTCAGTGACACCTTCAGTAGGATTAGAAATATCCTGATAAAGCACCCCAGGACCTCCCTAAGAAGACCAGATTCTCTCAAGACCTTCTGAAACTCTTTCAACAGGACTAAGATGCTCTTCACAAAGACGTCAATACTCCCCAAGAAACCATCAAACCTCTTAAAATCCCCCAGAAAGTTCTGAAACCCCTTCAAAGAGACTAGAAACGCCCTCAAGAAACCTTCCAACCTTTTAAACCCCCCAGAAAGAAAACCAAAGATCCCCTCAAGAACACCAGAAGTCTTCTCCAGAAGTTCAGAAACCATTTTAAAGTAACCAGAAAGATATCCTCAAGAAAAAGAAAGACCCCCTAAAAACAAAAGCCATCAAGTCCCCCAAGAAACCCTTAAACCCCTCAAATCCGCCAGAAAGAACACCAAATAGGTTCTGAAATCCATTTAAAAAGATACAAAGTTCCTTAAAATGCCCTTAAACCTTCCCAAAAATCCCTGAAACCCCTTAAATCCCCCAAACCTCTTCTAGAAGGCCTCACACCTGCCCAGAAGGACCTGGAGCCTTATCACCCTTCAGACCCCCTAAAGGTCTCTTTGGACTTCCATAAATTTGAGGATACGTGACAGCCGAGGTGTTTCCAATGATCCAGTAGATGGACAGGTTGACCAGGAACGCCACCACACCCGAGAACAGCACCGTCACCTAGGCAAGAAGAGGAGAAGGCCGTTACCACGGCAGACAATGTAAAAAAATCACCAGGACCTTCACAATAAAAGCATGGAGCCTATAGCATGGTGTATGTGTGTGTGTGTCATGTTGAGTCCAGAGACCAGAGCAGGAAGAGACCAGGGTCCAAATATTCCTTTGTCTCCAGTCAGTGGCTCAAACAGAGGAACAACGCAGAGCAGGAATCCCGACGACAGAGGAGCCTGAGAGGATACATTACCGTCATTACATCACATTATGTATTAGTACTATCACACTCACAGTATTAATATAAACATACTATTACATTTAGACATCAAGTATCAAGTCAAGTCCCAAGTCGAAAATTAACAAGTCTCAGGTCAAGTCCCAAATAAAGCTCAGCAAGTCCCAAGACAAGGCCAACAAGTCCCAAAAGAAGGGGGACAAGTCACAAATAAAGACCAACAAGTCCCACATGAAGTCCTAGGACAACAAGTCTCAAGTCAAGTCCCAAATAAAGCCCAGCAAGTCCCAAGAAAAGGCCAACAAGTCCCAAGTGACGGGGAACAAGTCCCACATGAAGTCCCAGGACAACAAGTCTCAAGTCAAGTCCCATATAAAGACCAACAAGTCCCAACTAAAAGTCCAAGTGAAAAGGAACAAGTCGCAAATCAACTCCTAGGTAAAAACCAAGACGTCACAATTCAAGTCCCAAGTAAAGACCAACCAGTCTCCAGTCAAGTCAACAAGTAAAAAAAGTCAAAAGCCAACATGTTCCAACTCAAGTCCCAAGTCAAGGCCAAAGGGTCCCAAGCATAGTTCTAAAGGAAGGGGAACAAGTCCCAAATCGACTTCTAAAAAAGACCAGTTTGAGCAGAAAGCCAGCGTCAGCATGACTAATGCAAACGACGGTGTGAAAAAACCAAACTGATCAGACTCTCTATCAGATAAGAGTACTCAGTGACCCTTGTACTGTTACAGTATCCATACTATTTGCAGTAGTGTCACTTCATAAGTCATACCTGATAGTACAGAAGCTGCATAGAGTTCACCTGGAGCTCATGTTGTTTAGCTCCCACCCACTGAGAGACAGACAGACAGAGAAACAGACAGGGAGATTGTTATTTTCACGGAAACAACTTTGTATTTTTGTGTGTTTTGTGTGTATATGTACTCACCACTTGGTAAAGCGACGTCACCAGAACACCCAGCGACGCAAACACCGTCCCCAGCAGGTTGAACCTCACGTCGAAGTACGAGTTCAGTATCACCCCTAACGTGATGGGCACCTGGAGACACACAGACAGGTAGAGTTAAACAAGAACTTTTTATTTTACAAGCCCAACGCTTCATGCAACCACCTGGACCCAAAACAAAACACATTGTCTGGACCCGACAAGTTTTAAGTTGGGGAGAAGGAGGTTCCTCACCAGTGTGAGCTTAATCTTGGTGGAGAAGGTCTTCTTGTAGTAGGTGGTCTGGATGAGGATGATGACGGGCGTGGTCATGGATTTAGCCAGCTGGTACGTCCCGATGGAGTTGTTCTGTAGCGAGAGGTTGGTGAAGGCCACGAACCCACAGAAGCTCAGCGCCAGCCACGCGATCCGGCGAAGCGGGAGGCTTTTGGGAGAGAAGATGTCAAATTTCTGGCAGATGTAGAGGCCCAGCCAGGTGACCACGAAGTGAACGAGGGTCAGCGTCATGTTGGGGAAGCCGTAGCGGACGTAGATCCACTTGTTGATGAAGACGATGCAGATGGAGGACAGCAGGTTGACCAGCAGGCCGACGGCGAGGCGCCGGTTGGCCGATAAGTTCAGCAGCGACATGGCTGACGACCCAAAGACGAGTTTAACTGAGAGAAGATGTTCACGCTGCCAAAACAGAGAAACTAATGTTACTCTAACGTGCACTGGTCTCCGTATTATTCTTTTACACTTAACAATTGTTGTTCTATTGTTCATATACATTTACATTTGTATTCTGTTGTTCTTCTTGTGTTGTAACTCTGGCACAAGAACTTCCTTCAGGACTAATAGTTTTATCTCAGCATGATACATCTTTTTTACTTTAATGCAAAATACTTTTGTTTGGTAAAAGTCCTGCCTTCATAAGTACACAAGTATTGTCAAATAAATGCAGTAACAAGTACTCATTGTGCAGCAGAACTGCCTCATTACTTTATGACATTATTCTAATAATATTTATGACGGATGTTTATGTCATAGCTGCTAACTACTTTATATAAAGTGTGGCAGTGGTGGAAAGTACCTACATGTACTCAGGTTTGAGGTATTTATACTCCTACTACATTTCACAGTGCATGTTGTGCTACAGCTCCACAAGTACCTCAAATGTATACTTACATACAGTACTTGAGTTAATAATAATAATATAATCCTTTATTAGTCATGATTACAGCAGCATAGTAGAGTATATATATATATATATATATACACATATACATACATACATACATATGTATACATACATACATATGTATACATACATACATATATACACACACACACACACACACACATACACACACACATACACACACAGAATAATTGTAGTATTGCACCGTGTATTTATATTGCACAGTTAAATACTGTGTGTTTCTGTCAGTTAATGCAGCATATTTAGTTAAAGGTAGTTAGACATAACATGCATTTATTTATCTCTCTCTCTCTGTCTGTCTGTCTGTCTCTCATTCTGCCACGCAATAAGAAAAGTTTACCTGGGGTCTCCATCTGTCTTCTTCTTCTTCTACCCGTCTCGCTCCGGACCCCGTGAGTTTAACGTCTCCCTCCGGCAGTCGGAGCACCAAACCTCCGGACTCCAAAGCGACGAAACCTCACGTTAGTGTCCTGGATGATTTTCGGTCCCTCTGCTCTTCTCCGTGCGGGAATACAGCCGTGATTTCTGGGTTACAAGCCGCCCCCCGTGGGTTCCTGTTTCCTCTGTGCCGTTGAACATTTGCGCGTGTTGAGCAACAGCGGCCCCTAGTGGACTGGAGGGTGAAGCACAGCCGAGATCATCTATAACAGGGGTCCTCAACTGCCGGACCCAGACGCAATTCCATCCGCACCCAGGACCTAACACCGACAGATAATTCAGAATTATTCATATCAGACACTGAGTTTATACTTCAACCGGCGCAGTTTATTCAGCCGTTACGGCACTTGTTCAGCGGTGCAGGAAACACACCAACCAATGCTTTGTGAATCACATCACGTGATGCAGCTCAGCCAATCAAATATGGGTATTCTGACAAGTTTCCTGACTCTAGTGAGATGTAGGCCCAATCCCAATGTTCTCCCTTACAGACTTTGAGGCGCGCTGCGAAGTCCGTGAGGGTTTAGGGCTGTCCCACTACAGTCAAATCATCAAGTGTTTGAGGGCTCTCTAGCAGACATTTTGAGCCCTTTATTAACCCTTTCCAGCCTAAGGGAATTACCCACAAATCATTGCAATGCGACGTTAAACACGGGGTAACCAGTGGACGCATGGAAACGTTAAAAAAAAGGTAAACAAAGAGGACGGCTCACTTCACTTCTTATTAAATTTACTCAGAAACATTAAGGGTTAAAGATGGAACAAAAAATAAACATGACATCAGAAGATATTTATTTATTTATTCATCAAATATTTGATTTTGTCGTTGAAGCTGTTTTGACAAAACGAGTAAATAGATTATATGAATGATCTCTCATCGTGTGAGGAAAGAGCCTGGAAGACTTTCAAATCAGGGAGTAGAAAATATAAAATAAATACACACAATTATACATCATATTTCTTGTTGTTTTCATGGTAACGTGATATGTTGCAGCAAAGTGCCGTCCCATTCCTATTTACACCATCTCAAGCCCTCACAGTCTCTCACACTCACCCACTTACCAGGTGAAGTCAGTAAGTCCTTGAGGGTTCAGGGTTTGAGGGTTTAGGGGGGACATTGGGATTTGGCCCCACACACCGTGACACACGGTGGAGAGACGAGGAAATAGAAAGAAGAGCAGGATCATTGCGCTAATTAGAGATGTTATCTCACATGACGTTCTCCTAAAAGAGAAACATGTTTAGAGAGAATATAATTTGTAAGCATGAATGAACAGACTCTTCTATGTTAATTCTTACAACAGGCAGTTAAAACCAGCATGTCTCATATGTTCAGAAAACGTAACTATTGATAAAAGCGGCTAATGAAGCGCACTACGAGACAAAGCACAACTCTTTAGAACAAACGTATCCACTCACATCTGAAATGAAGACCTAAAACCTAAGAGCCCAAAATGATCAGAATCCTGACACATGAATTCACTGTCCAATGATGTAAACAGAGAGAATAGAGCTGAAACAAGTGTTAATTACCACAGATAAAGTCCATGCTCACTGATTTATCTTTTGAGATGAAATATAATATAAAATAATATAAAATATAATATTGTGGCTTTTTGATTGACATCACTTCACACCTGAATGAACTTTACTATTTACTATTACTTTATTTTAAGATGCACATTTTTCAAAAGCTTTCTGTTATGTCAGTTATTCTTTATTCCAGCCCTTATTGTACTTGAAATGAGAAGACAATTTATTTATGTATTTCTATGTATTATTTATAATCCATCCAGTTAAATTTGAAAAGTGAGAATAATAATTGTTAAAATATAATTGATGTGTACGTTCTATATTTGATTTGACATTTGTTAACATCTGTTAACATCTACTATCACAGTAGAAGTTATCAGATGTTCTAATAATAATAAAACTTCTACTATCACAGTAGAAGTTATCTGTTTTTAATTTTTGCAACATTTCTACATGTTTACATCACTGGGAATGCAGTATATCAACACTGAACTATAGGGGGCAGCATAGTGTCTCACGGCATCCAATCTACCGAGAAATCAAAATAAGAAGACGAAGAAGAAACAATTATCACGAAGAAGAATCCTGTCAAGCCTCGTGAAGCGGGAATTTGTAGCCCACTATCATGGACTGGTAAATTAGATTTCACTAGATTTTAAACAAGAATCATCTTATACACATGTTGTTATATTTTGAATTATTCACGTCGAACCGTTAGCTTGTTATTTAGCCTGCTATTGCGGCTACTTTACTGTGTTAGCTGGTGGCTAACGAAACCGTTCATAATCAATGCTGATGCTAATCAGGCTAAATGCTGATTTGTGTACTATTGACATGTTTTAACCAGCGCTAAATACGTGGTTCTCGGTCAGTTATTGGGGATAATATATATATATGTATGATATGTTATTGATTACACAAAGTTGGAATTATCACCGCTGAATAAACTAATAACAAACAGCTATTTCTTGTCGTTAGTACAGTTGGTATTACTGTCTATCAGTGAGTACTTTCAGCTGTTAATGAATAGTTAGTTAACTAGTTAGTTACGTTACGTATTAGTACTTAAGTGCATTTACTATTGTACAATACAATTTGAGGTACTTGTACTTCCATTTTCTGCTACTGTATACTTCTAACGTTACTCCACTACTCTTCAGAGGGAAATATCGTAGTTTCTTTTACAGATTATTCATTCAAAAATACAAATTAACAAATACATTATGATGTATTATTATAGTTTAAGATACTGAGCAGTATTCTTTAAAAGTAGCTCCACGTTCAGTGATGAACACATTATTACATTAATATTTAAAATCTATCAAGATATTGTTTATGATTTAGAAATGAGCCTTTATGCATAATGACTACTTTAGGTATTCTTTGATGTTTATACTTTGATACTTTTTACTTAAGTAGAATTGACTTGTAACAGAGTTACTCTACTACTTCTACTAAAGTACTTCTTCCAGCTGGTCGAACACATACAAGACGGCTAGAAACGTACAAAAATACCGTTTCAGTGGTGAAACACATCAACAGAACTTCTTACGTTTCATTACAAGCAAAGAACTTCTTCTTCTGCTTCAAGCTCAATACGTAAACGCTGCCACAAAAAAGGTTCCTTTTACTAAAACATGAGTCCTTTACGGTCTTCCATCGAGAAGAAACTCTCAGAAATTAAGTTTATTTTACGATAACGTTTCATCATGTAATGAACATTAAAATATGAAATATAGACGCCAACAGAAAGGATTTGATTCAAGTTTTTGTGCTGCAATGAAAGGTATTGAATAAAACGAAGACTGTACATGATACTTTCAGTGGTAAGAAGTACTATGTGTTGCGTGTGTATTTACGTACTCGTCTTTCCTTCCAGGGGTCAGGGTGAGCTGCTGTCTCCGGTGGTTCGAGATGACGAGGTGACGATCGCTGCACGAAGGAGGAGGAAGAAGGTAGCTTGTATCCTTCAGCTGGGAGAGAATGTGTGTGTTTAGCTTCAGGTTAAATATCTTCAACTGGATTCAGACCATTGGTAGGATGTAAAAAGTTATGAATGCTCAAATACAACAACAAGTGTTTCTGTGAGGTGGAGACCTGTTAGCCTGTTAGCATTCATTAATGACGTCAGCACTGCCAGTGTTGTTGTTTTCCTGACTGTTGGTCTCAGTCCCGTCACCCGGCAGCCCCGTCCTGTCCACCGTAACACCAGCACGCTCCCTGCTGAGGAACACTCCAGCTTCACTGTTCAGACAGGCTGGTACGAGACACACACACACACACAGCTGATTATTGTTTATCTTCTAACATCAAACATCTCCATATTTTACTAACTCCCCTCTCTCGCCTCATGTCTTTTTTTCTCTCAGTAACTCCCAGAGTTCCAGATATTTCCTCCATTTTGGCTCCGGGAGGCCGAACGCCTCGATACACACACACACCCAGAAACGCCCTCAGCAGTATGGTGAGACAGACACTCACACACACACACACTCACACACACACTCACACACACACGGTCATTGGACATCATGCTGGAACATTTTCAGTTTTCTTATCTTGTTGTGTACAAACTTTCTGGACAAACATGTCGAAAATTGCTCATTTCATTTTGCAATCTGTTCACGAGGACGTTTGCATTAATGATTTTTGATCGTTTGTATAACTGACACTCGTACATCGCTATATAACTGCCACGAGTCGTTCTTGAGAGAGTCGGACTCTTACAGAGCAACAAATCTCTCAGTCGTGTGATAAAACCTCCAGGATTTGCTCTAAAACGCCGTCTCTGTGTCTAGAATTTGGATGACAGTGACTGGACCAACAGCATGTACATCTCCCCCGTTTCGGGGATGGAGAACACCAGCTTCTTCACAGACGACATCACCAACCTTAGCTCCGCCCTGCTGAAGGAGGATGACCCCGGCGAGGCCGGTGAGTGAAATGAACGCTCCCCAAATCCCGCTCTGCAAGTTTACAAGCACTCCTGTTAATATATATTTATCTTTTTCAGCGGCTGCCAGTCTCTTCCCAGAATTCCTCAGGTCCTTCCTGAAAAACTCTTCCACTGCGGTGTTTGAGCTGCTTGAGGATTACCAGCTGCTCTTACAGGACAAGGTAAGCTGTGTGTGTCTGTGTTAACTTTGCACAGGCTAGCTGTTTCCCTCCGTTTCCAGTCTTTGTGCTAAGCTATGCTAACCGGCCACTGGCTGTAGCTTCATATTTAGCACACATACACATGAGAATGCTATCAATGTTCTTATCAGACTCTCTCAGTAAGAAAGCAAATTAGTATATTCTCCAAAATGTCGAACCATTCCTTTAAGACGTGGTTAGCTTAGCTTAGCATAAAGACTGAAAGTAGAGGGAAACAGCTAGCCCTGGCTCTCTCCAAGTGTCCTAAATCAACCTCCTAAAGCTTATAGATTCTGATGAAATGCTCGCTTCGATCACTCATCTGCAGGTGGACGTGCTGCAGTCCGTGGTCCTCAGAGCGGGACGGGACAGTAAGACAGCAGGAGTCCGCTGGCTGCTGCAGCAGGAGAACTGCTCCTGGAGACTCATCACCTCGCTGTACAGGTACACACCTC